GGAACCAGGTTCCGGGGTATCTTCGCCCCCTGCCAAGCCTTCTCCCACTAAGCCCTCAACTTTTGTTAAAGGTAAAGGCAAAGGAAAGCTAAAGCACAGTCCAAGGTTAAGGTTAGGTCCACGACCAAGTCATCGAAGAAATCGGCTGTCCGCAATGTTCCGAAAACCGTGTCATATCTTCGGCCGACCTGTATGAGGTCAAGCTGACCATCAAATTTGGATTTCAACTGAAGAAGTGGGCTTCTGCTTTCATTTCGCCAGAGTTCACCCTTCGTGGCTCTCCGAAGTGTTACACCAAGATTCTCAACTGCCGTGTGCCGATTCCGATCCCAGAGTCACAGTCCATCGAATGTATTGCTTCCGAGCTTCTCAAGTTTGCTGACTTTGAGAACCCGGACCATCCATCGCAGCATACTCGTAAGACACTTCCCGAGCAAGCCCTACTTTTCGACACCACTGACAAACTACTCCAATTTCTCAGCGCGCCCACCCTAATTTTTTGTGCAACTACTGGCGCAGTTTTGGTGGCGGTGGATTCAGGACGGAGCCTGAGTTTGGGTTTTCGTAATGGGAGCGTGATCACTGGATTCCTGCTAGGGTCATGAAATATTTCTCTTATGTTTCTTTCTTGGTCGTGCGGAAGAATCCACACATGGAGTCGAGTAAGCGTGTTGTCCTTTTGGAGGTTCTTTGTGCAGCCCAGAAGGCTTGGGACGACTACGCCATAAAGCGGAACAAGCGCTGTGATCGTCTGCGGACCAAGTATCCCTATATCGTTTGGCCATGAATCTTTGACGAAGATTCGCCAGAGGCGGATCTCATCCCGGAGGTCATCTTTGGTTCTTCCATGCCTATCTATGGGTTTGATTATTTGACTTGGATCCAGAAGACCGCTATGTAGACTCGTGAGGTTGACGAGTTGTGTGGTAAAGTGCGATCGAAATCTCACGAGAAGAGCAACCTCGGCTGCCAGATCGCGAGAAAGAGACGGACCAGACGACAGAAATCCCACTCTAGGCCACGACATCAAGACGATTCCCCAAGATCTGACGTGCGACAACATCGGTGAGTGATGGGGACTACGGATGACCCAAGATCGACTGCAGATGACCCAAGATCAACCCGACAGAATGATGGATGGCGACCCACCCATATTATATCGTGAGAAGGCCGGATCAAGGAAGTTCATGGGGGCGAAGTCGCTATCAATCGACGATCCTGAACAATAGCGGGCTGACGGACCAAGATCGAAGGAGAACGGCTACGCTCGGAGCCCTATCAATCACCGATCAAGACATACGAGGGATGCGTAACCCCAGATCAAGACAAGATGGCGATCCGGAGCCCTGGGAAGGAGGCGGGATAGGATCGCCGGGGGGCAGTCGGCATGCGCTCCAAGGCGACCGGCGGCGATGGAGATCACCGCACGACAACCACATGGTCCAAGAGTCCGGGGCGACGTCCCAGATTGGGATCATAGATCGTGGTCACAGATCGAGGCCGATCAGGGCGTGATCGCGATTGCCGATCGAGACCAGGGGTTCGGATTATTCAAAGTAATTCAAAGTATTGTATTAAGTATTAATACAACATTAATACTAATACACCATGGTTATAATGTCATATTAAGATTACTAGGATTAATACATACTCGTAAAAATGATACTAATCTAATACATCAGTAATACTTTATGTGAATGACAAATGACAAGGGAAGCCATTGTTCAAGCTAGGAATACCGGTAGCAGGACCCATGGTGACGGCAGTCCTGATCGGGGAACGGGTTGCGAGCGATGCCGGCCGTCCCGTTGGATGGATACGCTATATGCACAGCATCCTCGATGCGACCGATTGCCTCCATGCACTGTCTGGAGGTCGGTCATTGCGTTCCAAAGGGACATTGTACGCGCTGCATCTACGTTCGTCGCCAACACCTTCATTACGAGCGATTGTGCACGTGCCTCCAACCTGGTACACATTATTAAGGTGGTGGTTAGTGGTGGCGACAGCAATGGCGACGGCGGTGCAGATGTGCGAATGGATTGCTTGTGATGCTGGCCGACCTGTTAAAATCGGTTTAGAGAAGATATTGATGTTTTTGATGTTTTTGATGTTGTTAAGATAATTTGTATTGTGGAATGGTAACTCGAATATAATATGGTAGTTTATCGGTCATACACGTTTGGATACTGATTTAAAATAGTTTAGTAACGTTCTGTGACAGTAGTCGATGGATCATTTAAAATCTCCCCCTCTACTTCGTTTTGATTTCCCTCCCCTTGGGAGAGAGGGGTAAAGGAAAATGAGATGCGCTTACAAGAACTGCGGATTGGCTGAGGTTGACGCGACAGAACCTTGCACAGTATGCGGCTTACCTGTCCATCATATCTGTAGCAATACAGTCTATGAAAGCACACTTGACAAGAGTTTGTACTCAATTTTTAAATATATATGCTTCGTTAATTCAAACCTAATGTAATTATTATCAATTGTGCAGATTCTGTAGCCAGTCGTGTGTTAAGCTGCGGAAAGCATCTAATGACGATGACAAACGGTTATGGGGCAGATCCACGAAACGTCCAAGTACAGAGGTATACTGTTTTGTAAAGGCAAATGCATAGAATTATAGGATTAGAACTAAAACATCGTCTACAACTGTCATTAGCTATTATCGAGTGAGCATACGCCGGCGTCCATCGATTTAACCCAGTCCTCAATATTGGACTTTACGTGGAGGCATTCCCATCGATCGTGATCGCCGATCGAGACCCGATCATGATCGCCGATCGAGGTTAGATCGAGGTCCGATCGCGATCGTCGATCGCCGATCCTAAGATAAGGTATGTATCCAGATGTCAGGTAATCGTAGGAAAGCAGCTGAGGATGGGTTAGGAAACATAGGGATAAAAGTAAACAGACTCGAATTTGCTCTAAGCCACACAAGTGTCCGCCTTCACCTGGAATCGGGGATTATTTTGGCCCCTCAAGCGCGTAGACGGTAATGACATAGGATCTAGCGTAGCGGTTAAGACTGGATAATATATTGGCCAGCTTTACCCTACCTAGTGACTGGCTTGTCCCCAAGTGTTTACTGTTAATCGGAAGGCATTGATTGCTTGGCCTAACGATTACATCGGATCTCGACCCAACAAGTTCCCCGCTATTGGAAGCGGCAAGCATAACAAGGAAGGAGCAAGATCTCCACATTTGGACCATGGATCCACAACCAGGCAGCTCGATCGCGACACAAGGAACCGTCAGCGACCGAGATCGACCTAGAACGAGGTAGAGCGAAGAAGTTCCGCGCTATCTCACGTCCCTGCGTTCTATCCTTTCCGGATATACATCGATCGAGTCACCCAGGAGAGTGTAATCCGCCCGCCGACGGGTACACAAGGTGAGCAAGAACAGAACCAGATCATGGATCATCGGAGGCCCCCTTTGTTAGTCGGTATCCGGGCGCAAGTGGTATCGCGAACCGCGATCACAAGATTTTCACAGATCCCGCTCCGCCACAGTTGGATGCTCCGAGCATCCATGCTCACGAACCTTGGAGAAATTACTGGGTAGACTTCCCTGAGCAGCATCCCTATAACGCGGTTTCTTCCAGTGTAACCCAACATTCCCGTTTTCGTGCCTGCTGGTGCTTCACGGGAATTTGTCGGTCGTCTCGTCACTCCGGATCCGGCATTGTCTTCTGACGAGATTGTTGATGGTTGGGATGCAGACTTTCAAGGTCCCCTTTCTCCAGCTACTGCCACGCAGGAAGCGGCGGCTTCTACTTCAGCTACCAGCTCCACCAAGGCCCCACCTGATCCTCCAGAGCTGAAGCTCCTTGCTTTCTTACGCGACCTAACTTCCCGGGCAGATATCGACGCACGCAGCTGATGCTGCAGCCAGAGCTGATGTGCTAGGTGAGGTCGACGACGATGTTGAGGAGGGAGGAAGAAGAAACTTCGGAAGCTGAAGCCGATGGTGACAAAAATTTGCCAGTCATTATCATCCAAAGTTCTTCATTTGCGTCCAAGCACCGCAAGTCGATGTAGCTGAATCTTCGTCGGTTTGGACATGTTCCTTTTGTCTACCATTTTCGTAGCGTTCATCGATTTATAAAAATATGCATTGCCGCAATAGCATATTTCGTCTGCTCTCCTGGGCTGCGTTGCCCCAGGTGCAGTTCCTTGTCGTAATCTTGTTGTGGCGCCTAGCCTTCGTCCGCCACTTGAACCATCTGCATTCGATGTTCATGTTTCTTGTTCTGGAGATAGTCATAGAGGAGCCCTCCGCAGGATAGATTTGAAGCTGGTCCCCATGTTGGTTTTTCGTAATCAACCAATTGTACCTTGAACTCCTGTACTGACCTCTCAGTACTAGTACTCAGCGGTCTGCGATCCTCCAATATGGGTTCGACTTCATATTCGCCTTCACGTTGATCCGGGACCCATGGATCTTCGGGGAGCCGTTCTTCCTTGAAGTCAAGTCTTGATCCATCTGCTACGTTTGGCACTAATCGAGTGGTAGGTCTGTTATTGAATTCGTTGACAGGTTTCATTCGAGATACGTGGACTACAGGGTAAAACCTGTAGCCACTCCGCCTGGTAACTCTAGTTCGTATGCATATTCATCCACTTTCGGTTTAATCCTGAATGGATCATGCCATCTATGCGCCAGTTTCTTGGTCAAACCTGGCTTGACCCTTTCCATAAAGAGCCATGCCCGGCTTCCACGCTCGAATAGTGACTTTAGTGTTTGACTGGTTGTTTCTTTTTTCTCATTGAGTGCGGTTTCATCTTGGTGAGCTGAATCCTCCTGACCTGATCCTAGTACGACCGCTCGTTCCACTCGAGTCAAAGCATCATTGTCTTCCTTTGCGGGCCGAGCTTTCTCCATGCGCTGATACGCTTTTGCCATTCTCCAGGCGATTTCTTGTTGCCGATTGACGTCGTGGCGCCATGCTAACGCATCATACTGTTTCCCCGTTCCTTGTCTTAACGAAGTTGTCATAGCTTCAGGGTTGACTGCGCGTCCCATCCGTGGAGTAGATAGAAAGGCGTCTCCTTCCTTGTCGTATCCATAGAGGTGTTGATGGCGAACACTAAGTGCTCAACAATTTTGTCGCAGTCTTGCTGAAATGGAACTTCGGCATATACTTTGACCGATTGCATCACTGTCTTGACCGACCTTTCTTGTTGTCCATTTGCTTGTGGCCGATAATTCAAAGTCGCGCGAGATCTCGACTGCATCATCTCTGCAAATGCTTGGAAGTCCTCACTCATGAAGCTAGAGTATCTATCATGGCGTATGAGTGATGGTGCTCCGAATCGTCGATATACGCATTCCTTGAAAACTTGTGCCACTCGCAGCGCTGTCGTATCTGACATAGGTTTCGCTATCACGAAACCTATGAAGATACATTGGAAAAATAGTACTGCCGCGCTTTCTTGCCAAGATTTCGGTAGGGGAATGACAAAGTCCATGGACACTATTTGGAAAGGTCTGTCTGCTAGAATGTTGCCTGGTGAGTAACCGCGGACTTGTGGTCTGCTCTTGTTGGAACAGCAGTCTGGACACGACTTGACATGTTTCTCGACGTCGGACTACAGGTCAAATCAGTAGTAGTCAAATTTCACTCGTTCGTAAGTTCTCACCACCTCCTTCGAGAGAATCGTGGCTATTCTGTAGGCCTTCTTGGATCATTGTTGTGGGCACAACCAGTCGCAATCTCAATTCTTCGTTATCTGCCTTTCGGTTCCGTAGGTTGGTGTGCATATAGTACAGCACGTTATCATCGGTTAAGATAAACCGGTCAGCAATTTTCCAGGCATCTCGTGCACACGATATTTGAGCTTATCTGCTTCTCCTCGAAGCATCTTCTTCAAGTTACACCACTTTAGTTCTTCGTCTTGCGCTGTAGCGATTCTTCTTCGCCACTCAGCTTGTACTACTACTGGATCAAAGTCTTCGGCGTTCAGTTCTTTCTGTTCTGCCCCAGACTGTATCTAATATTTTGACGGCTCCGATATTTCGGTGAGTTGGTCTGTCACGGTCGGTCCTTTATGAGTTTTCTGTTGTTCGTCAGCGAATCGGACATGTTTCTTCTGAGTCTTTGATTGACTCCTGGTTATTGCCATTACCGCTTGGGTATCTATCTGAACAAAGTCCGCGAAGCTTTGTGCTTCCCGTCTACACATCGAATTAAGCCTTCCGTGACCCACATTTCTACTTCCTTGACTCTCACGCTGTCTGCTGCAGAATCGTAGATCATTTCTTGAATTTGATTGAGTTCTGACAACTCGGTCTTCCTACATTCATATAGGACTACCTTCGATGTTTTTGATTCGAGGGCTTCTGTTGCTAGCGAATCTGCGGTTGCGTTGAATTCTCTCATCACATGTAGATACTTGACTGACTTGAATTTCTTTGTAATTTCTTTGTGGCGGTTTAGTACAACCATCAGTGCTTCATTACGGCATGCGGTCACCCTTAGTGATTGCTGAACCGTAAGCCTGGAGTCACCGACAAGGTGAATTGCTTGGCGAAGCAAAAGGAATTGTGTTTCCCACATGAAATTGTCCGGGTGTATACAAATGTATACACTATACGTCTCTTCATGTATACATGTCTGACACGTGGCTTGCTCGCTGCGCACCATTGAAACGACTTTCACTTCACAATTCGAAGAGCCAAGAGCAAGCACGCCAAGAAAACCCGCCTCTCCTCGTCCTTTATCGGATTGAGCTAATGGTCATCGCATAAGCTCCACTAATAAAACTGTTCGTTTGACCCCCATAAAGTGTGGAAATCACCAATTCTTCGGCACCTAACGCCAATGCTCTTTCCACTCCATTGTTCATTCCTAAATATTCGGCAACGTTTATCGTCGTTGATTCCAGGTGCGCGTTCGCAGCGATCACTATCTCCCATGAAGATAATCGCCACACGATCCAGGCACAACTGCCATAGCCACCGTTTTTTTTCAGTCTTCGCTGAGCCATCGAATGACACCACTTACCCACAGTAATCTTTCTGACGTTTCACATACAATAGTGCAGGGTCTATTCGGGCCGTTGCGGAGCCTTTTGATGGTGGACGTCGTAGAGCTTGCATCAGAGTCGGCAGAACTCGACAGCTGAGTAACTGCTTCGGCTCGACAGCCTCTGCGAGATGTTGGCGTGGTTTCAAGAGGGGCCGCGGACGTGAACTCAGCGATGGACTTGACCTTCATCGTGCCCGTCAAAAAGATCCGCCCCGAGGTACGTATAGCGGAAGGAGGCGCCAGCTTTGGGCGCTTCTTGACAACACCTTCATCTGCATAGAAGGACTTCTTACGCTTTCCTGCGGATATTGGATCCTCCGCAGCACGCGTGATCAAAGTCGGTTGGACATTGAGGCTTGAGGACGTCAGTGCCTCTGGTAGGCTTTGGGCGGTTGTGGTTCTTGATGAATACACCCTTCGAGAGCCGCATGTGCACCTTGTTCTTCGACGAAACACTGCTACGCTCCGCCGACGGTTTTCGTGTCGGACGCGTCGCGACCACGTGTGATGACGCGATGCCGCGTTGCTTGGAATTACCAGAGGACGTAGTGGTCTTCTCGTGTTGGGATTCACGATTATACCCCTCCCGTCACTCACAACAATTCGTCAGCTCCGCAAAGAGCTAACGACGAGCGGGATCAAAGGACTATACTCGATAGTCCTTGGTCCGATCCCTTCCGGGCTCCACTTGACTCTGTGGTGGTAGGTCGTAGGTCGACCTCACGTCGACCAAAACTGACGTCCTTGGTACGAGCACTCCAAGTCGTCTTCTCTTCTTCCTTTAACTTTACCCTGCCTGCCCTTTAGTGGTGGAAGGTGCTTGACTTCTCAGCCAGACGCAGGGGTGATGGGCTCTTGCTGAATTACTGGGAATGTGCTTCCAGTCTTCGACGATGACTCGTCGGCCTTCAATACGACCAAACCGCATACCTAGCGCTTGGTCTTGTCACGGATGGACAGGAGTTCTTCAACCGAGTCCATCAACAGACATATATGCATCTAAGTGACCTGGTCCTTTTGGACTTACACAAAAGAAACAAAAGAAGCCTTGACCTTTAAGTAGCAAATTCTGTTCTGTTCTCCGCCCTAGTGGGCGTTAAGACTAGTCCTAACTCCTACTATAGCGTATACAAATATCAAGTATAAATGCGACTAAGCTAACGACTCTCAAACGGCTAACGACGACTCGACCAATCACCCGACGATGACTCGCCTCGTCTACGGGTTATCTGAGGTGTTGTACACAACTCTCGATACAGTGACTTGGCTAGTTGAAGGTCCTTATAAAGGGACCTACGAGTGTTGGTCACGAGTCGTAGTCCGGTAAAGTCCGGTTGTGTGGGTCACTGTTTGTTGACTGAGAACTTCCAACGGCGGCTCCCATAGGTCCGTCCCAGTCAAACTCAGCACTCGCGCCGGCAAGTCGCTTTTGCAGGAAACCCGACACATCAGTCTGCTTCATTTTCTGCAGCAATAACCACAACGAGCTCACAAACCAAGTAAGATAGATATTTGAGAACAGTACAGACAACAGCATTGCTTGTACGTACAGCTTTGAAGTGTTTGGCTCGGGGTCTGCAAACGACAGGTTGAGCGGAACCAGACAGACGGCGAAGTGCAGCTTGAGGTGCGCCGTACGAGGGCGCGAAACATAAATGAGCGCGAGACCTTTCAAGATCCAATTTCAAACTAGTTTCTACTTGAAGGTGTTGAATCTAATCAATAATAAATCGTACTTGTCTTTTGATGAGGTTGCAACTTGAAAGATGGAAGGATATCCACCAAATCTCTAAAACCCCGACCAAATCGAATTGTTTGCTGAGACGACTTTTTTGGTCAACCGAAGTATTCGCGTTTTATCGGCAGTTTGGTTGCATGTTTAAAAACCTATAACCACAGCGATTAAAAATGTTTGGTGGGGTTTTGGAAGGCGCCCATTGGAGCAAGTGTTTCGTCGATGTCTACAAAGTACGTCAATATGGACTGTAGAAGTTTCGTAAATTCACACTCTTTTTCTTTGACGCGCTGAACAATCAAGTGCCATAGAGACAACAACACTGCCCACTGAACGGCTCGTCCGAACAGTGATTTTGACTTGGTAAGCCATTCCAGTGTGGAAAATCTTTTGTATACCCGCAAGGTGCGTCCCAGGAGCTGTGTGTAGCAGTTTTCAATAGTAGTAATAGCGCCATCACTTCTTTTTCTGCGGGATGATAATTAATTTCTGCATCTTTCAATACTCTTCCGCAGAATCGTACCGGGTGAAGCTTCTCATCATGCATTTGCAACAATGGAGTGCTCAGGGCTCATTCATTCGCGAACAACATGATATGAGCATCTTTAACTCGATCGAAGTGACGAAGAATCGGGCTTCCGCAGCTTCCACATTTAGTGCATCGAAGCTTCGTCTTGCCGTCGACAGGTCGGCTCCTTCACCGAAATCGTCATTCTTCAGCTGGTACAAGGCTGCTCCAAAATCTACTGTAGTAGTCTAACGCGCCTAAGAAGGATTGCATCCCTTGGTTCGTCTTCAGAAAGGGTAGCTGTGTGATTGCTTCCATCTTCTTATTATCCGCTTGTATCCCTTCGTTCGATATTTCGTGGGACAGAAAGTCTATCTTCGCTGTACGAAGATACTCTTCGTGAAGCTGATACTAATCCGGCATTCCTCGAAATGTGTTAACAATCTGTCAACGGTACTGAGGCATTTATCGAATATTTCACCCCCGAAACATATATCGTCTACAACCGATCGCCTGTCTAGCACCGGAATCAGTGTTGCCTCATCTGCTAAGTTGGTGCGAAACATGTCAGCTTCTGGACCATTGACTAGTTGTTGTACAGGCTCTTCGATATCCGTGGTCTGTCAAGCTGCATCAAACTTCGTACGGACAGCCGAAGATTGTGTATTGAATGCTGCTGGTGGTTCCTCGCTGCTTCTCGCCATCATGGAACATTCTTCAGCGGTCTTCATCTTGGCGGCGAAATTTCGCCACCCTCTTTTCGGCTGTACAAATCTCCATAATGCGTTGTCAATCATGCGCTGATATATCATCGGGCATTTTAAGACCAAACGGCATTCGCAGCTATTCGAAGTTTCCTAATGGACACACAAATGCCGAGATCTTACGAGCCCGTGAGGTCATCATTATTACCCAGAATCCACTCTCAGCATCCAGAGAGCAGAACCATAAGTACGTATCCAAATCAGTCAGAGAGTCTTCTACACTTGGCCTCGCGTACTTCATTACTGTAGTCACACAGCGTTGACCATCTTGTAATCCATACAAATTCTGATGTCGACGTCATTTTTTAGCACAATGACAATTGGCTAGGCCCATTGACTGTCGGAAAATGACACCAAGTTGGCCTTCAGCACCCTTTCAGCAACTCATAGAGTTTCTGCAAATAACGAATAGGAACTCGTCGCGTACGCTGTTTGATCGGGCTGTGCTCATTGACCTCGATATTGCATACTACCCCATAGGCTGGAGGTGGTAATGTCGCAATCATGATCTCCTCGTGGGTTTTCAACATCACAATCAACTTAGTTTGTTCTTGTTCAATCAGCTTGGAATTTTTCACGTTTGGTTCTGAATAATCTAACCCGGTTGGCGACGTTTCTGATAGGTCTGGTAAGAACGCAAGTTCTTGTGCATAATCCGTCAGCTCGACATGAGCACCTTCATGAATGTAAGTGTCCAAAGTCTCATCATTCTCTTCGTCATTACCT